TCGTCGACCGAAGAGCTGTATCTCATCGACGAGTCGGAAACCGTTTTTGTGTGGTTTCTCCACACGCGACGCGCGCTCGCGTCCTTTGCCTTTACCCACGGTCCGTTGACCTCGATCTCGCTCACCGACGCTGGCCACGTCCGGCTCACCTCACCGAGTCAGCCGAGCTCTGGCACGTCGAGCACTTTGAGCGCCTTGTTGAGCACAGGGGCCACACAGCGCCGATTGGCGCTATGGGCGGGATTGTGCGGACAAGCTCGGAAGGAGCCGCGGCCAGCGGTGTGGGAGCGAAGAGCGAGTCGGTCGATGCTGCCGACGGGCTCATGCAGCTGCTGGTCACTGCCGGTCAGGACGACTTGCTCATATTCTGGGACGTCATCGACATGCACCACCACTCGCAGTTCAAGGAGCGGACGTCCGAGGTGACTGCGCTGGCGTACGATCCCTCTTCAGACATGCTTGTGACTGGCCACGAAAACGGCGACATGGCGCTGTGGAACATCGAGACCGGCGCTACCATCCGGGTGGACGCCCACTCCAACACGGTGACCTGCCTTGAGGTTGTCAACCACTCGTTCTCCACCTCGAACACGGCGAGCAAGCAGTTCGTCATCTCGGGCTCGTACGACGGAACGGTCGCGGTGTGGGACATTGCCCGCATTGCACGGACGCAAAAGGCTGGCCGCGCGCCACCTTTGACGCCGGCAGGGGAGGGGGGGGGGGGGAGGAGTGTCTTTTGCGCCTCTGTCCGTGCACCATGTCCCTTGCTTCAATAATGACCAGGAAGGTGCCAAGGCACGGAACAAGGGAGAGAGAGAAGGCAGTGGGCGGGAAGGGGGGGAGGGGGGGGGGAAGGGGGAGGAGGGGGACCATAGCAGTAAAGGTAGGTACATTGGTGTGATAGGTGGTAGGTGCGTACGGTTGGGATGCGGAGAGGAGAATGGTGGAGCAATTGGACAGGAGTCCGTCCCTCCCGCAAAAAGGCCAATGCCGCTCCGCTCACGGCTCCACCTCCAACTCCACCACTGGAAGTGGGGAAAGGGAGTGAAAATGACTTCTTCCCTGTCCCCTCATCCCATCTGACCCAATCTAGTGTCACCACTTTGGAAGACGGGTCGAGATCAGTGCCGATGACAACAAAGCGTGTCATGATCTGCTTGGTAGACGGCGTCATGGCCGGTGGTATGAGCTTGCTCAAGTCGAGGATCAGCTGGCTTCGAGCAGCCCGATCTCGGCTGCAACCAAGTTGATGGGTTACTATGCTGCCGGGGGGCGGTCGATGAGGGGAGGGGGTGGCATAGGTTAGGCAGATGGCTCTATTGGCGACTGGCTGCGGCGATGGCTGGTTACGGCAGCGGGTGGCTGCGGTGGCTGGCTGTGGGCGCGTCACTCGAGCCAAAGTTGCGGGGCGAGGAGGGAGAAGCAGCTTGGCCGGCTCACACCCCACTCGAGGAGGTAGAGGCAAGAGACAACAAGCAAGCCATGGCATCACCGTCGTCGCGGGTGGCTGCATTGGGCCTGTACCGGACGCTGCTGCGGACCGCGCAGCGGTGGCCTGCCGAGCCGACGCGGCCGGACCGGTCGCTGGCGGCCATGCTGCCAGACGCCATCCGGAGCCGATTTCGGGCGTCTGCAGCAGCTGAGAGCGATGCCAAGAAGCTGCTCGCGTACGGCGAGGCGGAACTGGTGGCCCTGCGGCGAATGCTGCACTCCACGGCCAAGAAGCAGAACCCGGCGACGGTGCCGTACTCGATCGCCTCCGAGGCCGAGCGCAAGAAGGCCCGCCTCCACTCGGACGTCATGCTCTCGTCAGAGGCTCAGAACCAGAGCCAGACTCTTGTCGCCAAGATTAAGCGTGTGCTTGGCTACTGATAGCCGGCCCGTGGCCTCTCCCTCCCCGCCCTCCAACCCCCGTTGGCCCCTTGATCGCTGCTCCGCGGCGCTCTCCAACCTCCTGTCATCTCTCTCAACATCGCATGCACTTGCTGCAGATCCAGGCAGAGGTGTCTGTAGTCTGGACTCTGAGTCTTGGTCCCATTTCGTAAGCTCCGTGCCTGCGACAATAGACCCCGCCACCACAAGCCATGATCACGACGATCACCAGGAGACAGTGACAGGTATTACCACGCAGTATCACCGCACGGAAGCAGTCTTCTACCATGGCCGCCTTATGTAGCAGCAGTTAAAGCGCCATCACTACGCTGAGGGTAGTATTCCGGTGAGATGAGGGCCTCGGGCCGCGGTCCACAGGCACTTGCGCTTGCCACTCACTCGTCTCGACGAATCTACGAGAGGGTGCAGATGAACCTTGAACTGCTAAGTACGTGAAGCTTGTGCAAGTGACCATGGTATGAGACATAATAGAGTGTAGTATACTCACAATTATGCGTTGTGGTGATGGTGCTATGGGCGTACTGTGTATGACGGGCATTGGTGGTGGTGGGAGGGTAGACCCGTTCGAGAACCCACTGCCCGACGCCATCCAGCACTCGCTGCTCGACGGGTCTGCAGCATGCGTGGGGTACAACAGGCGAGGAACACTGCTTGCTGTGGGCTGCAATGATGGAAAAGTTCTGGTGTACGACACTTTGACCAAGGGCATTGTCCGCACCCTCTCTGGTCATGTCCAGACAGTCTCCTCAGTGGCATGGTCGCGCTCGGGCCGCAAGCTCCTCTCGACGGCTACTGATTGGGATCTGATTCTGTGGGATGTGGCTACAGGCGAGATCGATGCCCGCGCTCATCTCTCGAGCATGGTCCTGGCCGGCTCTATGCATCCCAAGCTCAATCGTGTTGCGCTTGCCATCCAGCACCTGGTGGGCCCGGTGGTCGTCACCTTTGCCCAAGGCTCGGAGATCGACACTAGCCGCAAGTCCAGCGTCCGCGCCCTCCCGCGGCTAGCTGCTCTGGACGGATCGGTGGTGGAAGGGCCGGCAGGTGCCGAGGTTGCCGTCTTCTCCATTCTTGGCAAGTATGTGTTTGGCGGCACGCCGTCGGGCGTGGTGTACCGGGTGCCGTTTGTGGGCGAGGACGGCGGTGAGATGCCGACGCCGACGGCAGCTGACATTGTGGTCCAGACCGGTGCCGGCGTCAAGGACATTGTCTTTGCGCGGTCGGGCAAATTTATGCTGGTCAACTGTGCCGATCGCTCGCTCCGGCTGTACGGGCTGGCGTCGGACGATGTCGGGGTGCCTGGGTGCGACGCCAGCAGCGTCACGGCGTCCGAGTGCTTGCACCGGTTCGAGGACCTTGTCAACCGCATCCAGTGGACGTGTGTAGCGTTCTCAATGGACGGCGAGTACGTACTCGCGTCGTCGGCCGAGTCGTCGCAGCACAACATCCTCGTATGGGATGCTAAGGACGGGACGCTGGCCAAGAACCTCGAGGGCCCCAACGAGGGCATTCTCGCCTTTACCTGGCACCCGCTCCGGCCCATGGTGGCATCGACATCGACCAAGGGCTCGGTCTTTGTCTGGGGCACCACCATTACTGAGAATTGGTCAGCATACGCGCCTGACTTTGAGGAGCTGCAGGAGAACACCGAATACATCGAGCGCGAGGACGAGTTTGACGTGATCGACGAGTCGGCGCGCAAGGCCGCGGCCGAGGCGCAGGCCTCGCGCGAGCACGAAGCCGGCGCCGTCGACGTCGTCACCATCCAGCCGCTCCCGTTCGAGACTGACTCGGACATCGAGTACCGCGACGAGGACGGCGAGCCGGAGCTCACCCACGTGCCCGTCGACCCCATCCGAGACTCGGCACTCCGCCCTCGCATCGAGCTGCCGACCGACGACGGCCCGCTCGAGTCGATGCTTCTCCCGACCATCGAGGAAGAGAAGCGCGCGGCGCTCGCTGCCGCCGCCGCCGCAGCAGCAGCAGCAGCCGTGTCCACCGCGTCGGGCTCTGTTAAGCCTGCCGCTGCCGCACCGGGCGCCAAGTCGTCACGTAAGCGCAAAGCCGAAGCGGGCAGCGAAAAGACTGGCAAGAGCTCGGCGTCCAAGAAGCGCAAGGCCAGCCGATCGTCGGCTTCGGCCCGCTCGGGCCCGCCGCCGCTGCCGGACCCACTGCCCGAGGGCTGGGCCACCTGGTCTAAGATGCGGCAAAAGGCGTACTGCTCGATCGAGACCGCGCCCAACTCGTACTACTACCGCCACCTGGCGCCCGGCGAGGAGCCCAAGTCGGGCAAGTGGGACGAGGAGGAGCACAAGCTCTTCCTCGACAAGTACCGCGAGTTTGGCGCGGCAGTCACCTCGTGGGGCCTCTTCTCCCGCCACTTTCCCGGCCGCGTCGGCTATCAAGTCCGCTCGCACTTTGTTGCCTGCATCCGCGAGGGCATCATCACCGACACCTCGCTCCCGATTGTTCGCGTCGAGCTCGAAAAGGCTGCCAAGGAGAAGGCCGCACGCGCCGCAAAGAAAGCTGCAGCCGCGGCCGCGGCCGCGGCCGCTGCTGCTGCTGATGCTGCTGCGCCGATGGAAGCCACCCCTCCCGTAACCGCTACCGCGGGCCCTGGTCCGGACACTGCGCCGATGGAAGCCACCCCTCCCGCAACCGCTACCGCGGGCCCTGGTCCGGACACTGCGCCTATGACGGTCATCAAGCCCGAGTAGGACCCGATCAGACAATGATAAAAGCAACATGCCAGCTACTGAACCAAGCACCATGGTGAGCCTGTGGTCTGATGGTCTGACATCTGGTCACACTTCTCGCCATGTCCGACTCTTGGTGGTCCGACTCGGACGAGGCGCCGCGGCGGCGCAAGCGCCAGAGCCGGCGCAACAAGACACGGGCTGCCCGACGGAGCGAGGCAGTTGTGAGCAAGCCAGTGGGAGAGGCGAAGAAGAAGCGGAAGAAGAAGAAGAAGTCTGTCCAAGACCGCCCTCGCGAGGCCGCTACCCCGGCCTCGGCCTCAGACTCGACCGCCGAGTTCTTCACCGCCCCCGACGAGCTGCCGATCCCCGGGCGATCCCTCTGCCTCGACCCTGCTCCGGGGCAGAGCGGGAGCAACAGGTCCAAAGGGAGAAAGACGCGTCGTAGTGGCCGCTCTCGTCAGAGGGAGGCTTCTCGAAAAGTGCAAGGTGCCAGTGCACTTGCTGCCGATAGTCCAGCTCGAAGGCGGAGGCGGCACCGCGACGGCGGCGAGAGTAGCAAGGCTAAGGCAGCCATGCATGCCGACTCTGTCGGGACGCAGACGAGCAAGGCTGTGGCGGAGAGTGCCGCAGAGTGGGATCCGCTCAAAGATCTGGATTCTGAGCAGCGGGAGGCGTTTGCAGCGATGAAGGCGCTGGTGCCGCAGCTGGCTGCCGAGGCTGATCCGCCGGTGGATCTGAGTGATGCCAAGGTCCTCGCCTTTGCCACCGACGCAACATACTGCAGATATCTCCGAGCGCGTGGGTACTCGGCAGAGAAGGCAGCCAAGATGCTTGTGGGCACGCTGGTGTGGCGGGCCGAGTACAAGCCTGAGGAGATCACGCTCGAGGAGGTGTGGGAGGAGCTGGAGAACGAAGGCAAGATGTACCTGTCGGCGCACAAGGATCGCGAGGGGCGGCCTGTGGTGTACATGAAGCCGGGCCACGACAACACCACCGATCGCATTGTCAAGGTCAAGTACCTGGTGTATGTGCTGGAGAAGGCGCTGGGCTCGATCACCACCCCGGGTATCGAGACCATGACCTGGGTCATTGACTTTAAGGGCTACAAACAGCTCGCGGGTATGAAGAACATCCGAGTCTCCAAAGACACAGCCTCGGTCCTGCAAAACCACTACCCAGAGCGGCTGGGCAAGGTCTTTATGTGCAACCAGCCGTGGGTCTTCAACATCTTCTGGGGTGCCGTCCGCCCGTTCATCGACAAGAACACCGTGGCCAAGGTCTCGTTCCTCGGTTCCGACTACGCACCCATCGCTGAGGTCATCGAGCCATCCGAGCTTGAGGTTGACTACGGCGGCAAGGTGGTGTACAACTACGACATCGACGAGTACGCCTCGTTCTTGCAGAGCGCGTAAACGCGCTGGCTACTCGTCCGAGTCCGACTCGGAGTACGATGGCTCGGGCTCGAGCCGCAGAATGAGAGTCTCGCGCTCCGCACTCGTAATCAACGCGGCGGCAGGCGGGTCAGCAGCCTCGAGCGCATCCAGAAGCCCATCAAGCGCGGCGCACGGATACGGCCCGGTCGCCAGGAAGAGCTCGCCGCGCACATGCGCCCAGGCAACCGCCTTGCCGCCGAAGATATCGTCAGCTTCGGTAAGGCGGACAACAAGCCGGAGGGGGCAAGCCATGCCCGCTCGCTCAGCCGAAGGAAGTGAACTCCGCCATCGACGGCCAGCGCGAGTGTCGACCGCAGCTGGGCGTTGCCGAGCGAGTAGCCCGTGAGATGGAAGATGACGTGGTAGTGCGAGACCGAGGCAGCGACAGGCTCAGGTTGGTCCATCATCCACGCCAGCCAAGCATCCATCCGAGAAGCAAAGACCGCGTCGGGCTCGTCGTAGGGAGCAGCTAGGTACCGCTCTCGCGAAGCTTCCCAATCGTCACCGTCGTCTGCGTCAGGCCCGGTGTACCACCAGACCGGGCCAGGCAGCGACGAGGTATCGAGGCCCGGAAATGCAGCAGCAAGGAGATGAGGCGGCGATCCGATGTCATCCGAGCCCGAGACAGCTTCGCGGCCGAGATCATTGAGCACCACTCGAGTGTGGGCCCAGTTCGGGTGCGCCGGACGTGTGGCGACGATGGGCGCGTCCGGGAAGACCAGCAGCGCTGTCTGAATGGCGCGCGAGAGCGGCGAGACGATGATGAGCGGCGGTGGGGCAATAGCAGCCAGATCAGCATTTGCTGCGGCGGTCGCTTGCGCCTGACCGTGCTCAGTCAGCGGTGCATCGTGGACCATGGGATCATGCGGCTCTGGCGAATGCTGCGCCGCATTGTAGACCGACTGGGCATGGCGGACAAAGTGGACGACCTTGACTAACTCGGCACTGGCGAGCTCAGCCACTGCCTGCAGTCCTGCATCCATAAGAGACGCAGAGACGTAGCGACAGAGAGATGTTTGGTGTTGGAGGACGAGAGACTGGAGTTGATCGCTGTCTTGACTGTGGGCCAAGGTGAGACAATGACTGACCGACCAGACAGCGCCACACCACCCACCACCTCATCGATCTGGATCCAGAGTAATGCTCAGATCATGGTCCCATTCCCCGACAAGAGTAACTGAGATATCCCGTGAACGCCAGATTGTTCACCTAGGATGATGCCAGAAGAGTGCCACCAGTGTCAGTAGTATGAGCGGCCAGCTGTGTCACCAGTCGGCGGACGGCGGTCGGCAGCGGCCGGCAGTCGGTGGGCGGCGGCGGTCGGCGGCCGACGACCACTCGACGCAGTTTGGCGAAGCAGGAGCGAGGCTGAGCGACGGGTGTTGAATGAAGTCCCTCAAACGGATGTTTGGCGGGGGCAGGGAGAGCACAGAAGAGGGAGGGGATGGAGGGAGTGGTGGCAGTGGTAGAGGTGGGGATGAGTCTGGTCGGTCAGGTCGCAGGCCGTCGTCGTCGTCGTCTGCCCATGCTCCTCCGCCGTCATCGGCTGCTTCGCCTGGAAGCCACACGCCGCGGTCAGGTGGTTCCACTCCTGGTCGCACAGGGCAACGAGCTGGTGCAGCTGCTGGTGATGGTGGCAACTTGTTCTCTGGCATGAACGTCAAGGCCTCGCCGTCACAGTCGGCTGGGGATGCTGGTGCTGGCGGTGGTGGTGGCGGTGGCCGACCTCACAGAAACCGTCGTGTTGGTCATCCGGCAGAGGCCGGCTCGAGCCCCGCTGGCTCGCCGGCTGCAAGAGCAGCCAACTCATCGTTCTCTTTTCTCAACGAATCGGTCGATGAGGTTGGAGCGGGCAGGACTACGCCGCGGACGGATGGTCTGCCGCAGGACGCAAACTCATCATTCTCCTTCATCGGGAAGGAGAGCCATGCGGCTTCACCGAGGCACGAGATGGACAGGCACGAGTCAGTGACGCCCGAAAGGACCCGTCCCACCCCTGTCGCCGGAGATGAAGCTTCTGCACAGGGCTCGGCTGTTCGCAAGACTCGCACGTCCGCATCCAAGCGCGGCCGCGAGAGCAGCAAGGCCGATGCACCCTGGCTTCCCGATCACCTGCGTGGCAAGCCCCGCGCCGAGTACACCCGCGAGGAGAAGAAGCTGGTGACCAAGCTCAAACGCGAGTATGCTCGATCACGCAAGGAGAGACTTGCGTCTCGTGAACCAGAGCCAGTTCCGGAGACAGAGCCCAAGCCCGAGACCGAGGCCGAGGCCGAACCGGCAGAGCCAAAGCCCGAGCCTGTCCCCGAGCCTGTCCCCGAGCCTATCCCCGAGCCTGAGCTCGAGTCCAAGGCCGAAGCAGAAGTCGCGCCTGCCTCTCCGTCAGAGCCAGGTCCAGATGTGGCTGCCGAGCCTGACAGCAAGCCCAGTCCTGATGGCACAAGCCCAGAGCCTGAGCAAGTTGTTGAGTCCGGCGCTGGGCCTGTAGCTTTGGGTAGCGAGCTCCAAGAGCTCAGCTGTCCGCACAGTGACGAGTCGCCGCTCGACAAGTTTGTGGCGAGCATCGAGGTGCTGTCTCTCGAGATGAAGGAGCTAATGGCGGGCAAGGCAGCAGCCGAGACCGACCGTCTGGCGGTGTACGAGACGCTGCTCGAGTTGGCACAACGGCTTGCGACGACCGAGGAGGAGCAGGCTCGGGCAATTACCGCCGAAGCGTATGAGGACGCCGATGCCCTGTCGATCAAAATGGGTGAGATCCAGATCGAGATGGAGCAGGTCCAGGCCCGCGGGCGCGGCTTTGTGGCCACGTCGCAGCAGCTGTTGGCGACGCTGCAGACGATCGAAGCGCGGGCACTCAGGGTCCAGGCCGAGGCGCGCGACGCCTTGGTCCAGCACACTACCCAGCAGCGTGTGGCCATGGACGAGGTCCTGCGCGAGTCGCGCGAGGCCATTGCGGATGAGGAGGAGAGGCTAGAGAAGATGCAGATCCAGGTGGCGCGGAGCCGGTCGCATCTCGAGCTCGACCGCGAGCACGTCAGTTCAGAGCGCGAGGCGCTCAAAGCCAAGATCAAGGCCAAGACCCAGGCGTCCGAGGAGCGGGTTGTGCAACTCCAGAGTCAGCTAGCTGTGGCCAACGACGAGGTTGCCGAACTAGCGGCGCTGCTGGCGGCCAAGCGCGAGGCTGCCGCAGCGCTAGCGCAGTCAGTGACTGAGGCCCAAGACCGGCTGGCCGACATTGTCGCCCGATTTGACAAGGAGTCAGTCGAGGTCCAAGCCAAGGAGGATGCGCTGGCAAGCGAAGCCGAGAGCCTGGATGCCGAGGAGCAGGCTGTTGCCTCGGCGGCGGCCAAGCTTGATGAGCAGCGGCAAGCGCTGTCGGCGCGCGAGGCCGAGTTTGAGGCTGCGCTGGGTGGGACCGAAGCTGCCCTGGTTGACCTCGAGCTGGTGACCCGGATGGCGGGGACGGAGGCCCGGGCAGTTGAGGCTGCCGCCGCCATCCTCGCCTCGTACGCCACGTGGGAGAGCGAGGAGGAGGCCGCGGTGGAGGCGTCGGCTGGAAACCGCGCATTTGTTCAGGCGCGCGTCTCAGAGCTTGCCGCCGGCGTGGCCGCGAGCCAGGCCCGAGTCTCGCGGCTCCGCGAAGACATTCTGGTCAAGGAGGTGGCGCTGCCAGGGCTAGTGGCTGACAAGGAGCTCGCTGTCTCGTCGCGGCAGTTTAAGGATGCAGCGCGGCTGGCGGCGGCGATCAAGGACACCGAGGCTGCTGTGGCGTCGCACCAGACCGAGTTGGAGACGCTGCAAGCCACGCTCGACACCGACCAGTCCGAGCTCAACGAACTCAAGCGTGAGCTGGCGACAGCCAACATGGCGGTCGACGCCGCACGCGCAGAGTCGGATGCACGCAAGCTGGCACGGCTCCACCAGCTCGCCACCGAGCTGATTGACGGTCTCGGCGGCACACCATCAGTGGTGCCGCTGGTCCGCTCGGTCGCCATCCACGCCAAGGCGCTCACCACTCAGCGTCCCGAGCTTACTGCTGCTGCACCCGACTTTGATGCAGCGGTAACTGCTGCGCTGGCCGCCGCCAACACTGGCACCACCGCCGATGCCGATGCCGATGCCGGCGCAGAGGCGGAGGCAGAGGCTGCGACTGATGTGGAGGCGGAGGAGAACGAGGCCGAGACAGGCGAGATGGAGGCGGATGTTGTGGCGGACGATGGTGCCGAGGACAGGTGTGATGGAGGTGACACGGTTGACGCCGACCAATCTGACGCCGCTGAGCTGGAGCCCGACCAACCGGACGCCGAAGAGCCGGATCCGCAGATGGAGGGCTGGCGTGCCGAACGTGACGCCGCAACCGAGAAGCTCGTCGAGCTTGAAGCCGAGCTGGAGGAGCTCGTTGCGCTTGAAGCCTTTGAAAAGTGCGATGTCAAGCAGGGCGAGATCGATGCAGTCTCTGCTGACATTGCGCGACTCGACGAGCTCCTTCAGGAATGAACGCTACGGGTCACAGCACGCGCGCATGTCAGCTCGTCGCAAGTCGCTTCATGTCGCCCAGCCCAGGCCTCCGCTCTTCGGCACCAAAGCCAACGGTGGCAATGCTCTCTCTCACCAGACATAGTCTTCGTAGAGCATTCATGTCAGCAGTAGCTACAGCAGGCGGAGAAGGCGGGAGTGAGCAGCCGCGGAAGCCGCGGAAGCCGCGGCGGCGAAAGGCAGAAGATCCGGCACGGGCGGCAGGGAGTCGGGCCAAGAAAGCCAAGACGGTGACAGCCAAGCCATCGTGGAAGATCCCGACAGGAGGAGTTGCCAAAGGTGATGATGGTGAGCCGCGATGCTGGTGGGGCGTGTCTGCGCCAGAGTACGTGGCGTACCACGACAATGAATGGGGCAAGTACCGCGGACCGGACGATCGAAGCGACAACGAGCTGTTTGAGATGTTCGTACTCGAGAGCTTCCAGTCGGGCCTCTCCTGGCTTACCATCCTCCGCAAGCGCGACGGCTTCCGCAAAGCGTTTGATGGCTTTGACTTTACGAAAGTGGCCGAGTACGACGCCGAGAAAGAGGCCGAGCTGGTGGCCAACGCTGACATTATCCGCCATCGCGGCAAGATCCGGGCCGCCATCGCCAACGCCAACGCCCTGAAAGCTGTTGTCGACGAGTTTGGTTCGTTTGATGCGTATCTCCGCAGCATGCTCGGCGCGTGGACGCCCGAGTGCGCGTTGGCGGCGCCCAAGACGGTGCTTGAAGACGCGATGGAGAGCAAGACGGCCGAGTCGGAGGCGCTGGCCAAGGATCTGAAGAAGCGCGGGTTCAAGTTCATGGGCCCGACGACGGCGTACGCGTTTCTGCAAGCGACCGGCTTTGTCAACGACCACGTCCCGGGCTGTGTGTGCCACCCGGCCAGCGGCGGCGGCTCGTAGCCACTACTTGGGTGGGTTGAGGAAGATGAACTCGCGGAGGACCATGCCCTCAAACTCACGGGTAGCCGACGCCTCGTCTGCACCAGTCACACTCACCATGAGCGTGGCTGGGTCGTAGAAGCGATAGCTCCAGGGAGCGGCGATAAATGTCTTGACGATCATGCGAAGGATCCAGGGAATGGCGGAGAGGATGTCAAACTTGTCGATCCACGACGAGTGCTCCCACACCATCGAAGCAAAGACGTCCGAGCCAGGTACGGCAAGCGACTGGCCGGCAAGCGCCTTGCCCGAGAGGTTGAGCGCGGTTCCGTGCGGCACAACATACCCGGTGTCGTCCTTGACCTCGTTCGACGTAGCACACGAGTTGTCTGTTGTCACCGCCACCAATTCCGAGTCGACGATGAGGGCGCCGAAGGAAATCCACTGCGAGCCATAACTCGGAGGCGTAAGGAAAGAGACGTATGCGAGCGAAGCATGGTCCGAGTCAAACTTTGCGAGCGACCAGGTGTTGGCGATCTTATGGGCCTTGACGTTCTGCAGGAGGCGCGAGACAAAGCCGCGGCCCGAGAGGACCAGCGTCGAGCCATCGGCCAGGACGAGTTCGCCGGAGACCTGAGCGCGAGCCATGGGGAAGACGTTGCGGCAGTAGGGAGCCGAGGTTGCGTCTGGCGAGTCGAGGTCGGCCTCGGGCTCGACGCCAAAGACCACCTTGCCGTCGGATATCATGAACGACGGCGAGTCTGCGGTAAAGGTAGCCCGCAGATCGCCGATAGCGTTCCCACCGGAAGCCGGAAGCGCGACCTTGTACTCTGCGCGGGTGGAACCATCATCAGCGGCGGGGACATACTTGAAGACGTGCTTGCCGATGGCCATGGACCGACGGGAGTCGTCAAGACGGATGTCCTTGCGGGCAAACTTTGCCGACCACTGCAGTGGGCTCTCTGAGCCGCGAGCCTTTGCCAACGCCGGACCAGGACAGATCTTGAGGTTGACGCCCGGCTGATGTGTGTACATGCCAACAGAAGAGACGATGGACTGGATGAAGATGACCGATCCGTCGTTGTTGAAGATGATGAACGTGCCCGTCTCCAAGTAGTCGGCATCGTCCAGCAGGTGGGTAGTCAGTGGCTCTCCGTCAGCAATGTCCTCCAGTTCCGTTACCACCTCCTCTGCTTTCCATCCCCGTACAGGTGCTCCAGCAGCCATTGGGAGTAGTCGGGTGGGGTGGAAGGGGGGGGAAGGCGGTCGGTTGGTTGAGAACAGCTGCAGCGAAGCCAAGTCGTGCGATCAGAGAAAAAGGCCGGGTCAAACCCAGGTCATGGGATGGGTGTGAGTGTGAGGTGTAGCGATGGATATCTTACGGATTTATTGTTGTTAGATAATGAGATATGTGTTTGGAGAAGGGTTTGGGAGGATTGAGTGATGATGACGTGGGTTGCTGATGTGTGTGACGATGTGTGTGTGATGTGTTTGACGAGATGGTAAAGTTGGTCGGACGTTGTTGGGGAACGTAGCTGTGATGTGATGGTGCACACGATGGTGCACTCGATTTAAAGGGTAGGAGGATGGATCGATCAAGTTGAGGAGGTGTGTATGTATGTGTATCGTGGAGATGTGGTGGATGCAGCCGAAGTTGTTGACGGCTGCCGAATTTATTTGTGTGCAGCCCCTGTGCCCCGTGGTGCGGGAGGACAGGAAGGCTGTACACTTGACCCTCTGCACACCTAGCCCGTGCAAAGGCTTGAAAGGATGTCGTGGTCAAGTAGCTCTACGGCTAGTGAGTCCGGGACAACCCAGTGGGAGTGCTCTGAGACGGGCACTTCGTCGACAGCAATGGGGACGGAGACATCGACGACCTCGATTGGGAAAAAGAGCGCCCTGGGCTGTTTCGGGACCTACCTGCCGTTGTGGGTAGTGGCATGCATGGTTGTCGGCGCGACGATCGGGTCGTTGTGGCCAGAGGTGGCGGAGAGGCTTGATGAGGCGACAGTGGAGCAGGTCTCGCTCCCGGTTGCTGTCCTCATCTGGATCATGGTCGTTCCCATGGCGCTCACGGTTGACTTTGATGCCATCCTTGGCGTCTTCCGATTCCCGCGCGGCCTCCTGGTCACAACGGCCGTCAACTGGCTCGTTCAGCCGTTCCTTATGTACGGCCTCGCCACGCTGTTTTTCAGGCCATCTACACGTCGGTTGTGAACGATGTGTTGGCGAAGGAATATGTGGCAGGCGCTGTCATCCTCGGCGGCTCGCCGTGTACAGCGATGGTCTTTACGTGGTCAGTCCTTGCCCGCGGCGATGGTGCGTACACCCTCGTCCAGGTCGCGCTCAACGATGCGCTCATCTTTGTGCTTTATGCGCCGACGATGTTCCTTCTTCTCTCGGCATCCGACATCCACGTGCCGTACATCACAGTCGTCATAGCGGTCCTTGTCTTTGTGGCCGTCCCCTTTGCCTTTGGCTTTGTCGTTCAGAAGTTCACCCCGTGGGCTGACTCTCTCGCCCGTATCCTCAAGCCGTTCACCATCGTCGCCCTCCTCGCCACCCTCCTGATCATCTTTGTCTTTCAGGGTGAGCGCTTGACCGATCGCTGGACAGACGTTCTTCTCATCGCCGTCCCGCTCACCCTGCAGACCTATCTGGTCTTTGCCATCGCAGCTGTCCTCGCCTGGTACGCCCGGCTTCCGTTCAATGTGGCTGCGCCTGCGACCTTTATCTCCGCTTCCAACTTTTTCGAGCTCGGCGTCGCCGTTGCCATCGCCTCGTACGGCCTTGATTCCGGTGCCGTGCTTGTCAATGTGGTCGGCGTTCTCGTCGAGGTTCCCATCATGCTTTCGCTTGTCTGGTCCATGAAGAAGGCGCACTCTATATTTGATGCGCGAGCCGGCCCGGCGAGTGACCATGATTCGGACATTTCGTCCGAGGCATCGCCAAAGGACTATGGGTACAGTGAGGACACGATATACGATGCGTCGGCGTCGTCAGGTGGCGCTTCATCGAGTTAAACCCAGAGCCTCTCTTGTGCCGTGATGGAGATAGACGCCAGCTGCGGCCGCTGGAATACATGAATCAAAGATCGAATGCGGCAGTATGGCAACAAAGTGAGTCTGCAAGTTATGAGAACAGTTGACGTCATTGTACAAAGTGGCGTATCCCTCGTTGGTCACTCGTACTCGTTCTGACTGTCCGACTGACCACCGACAGAGGCGGACCGGACCGACTGCTCGATCAACACCGCCACGTTGCCACAGCCGACAGGTCACACTGCCACAGGGTCCACAGATCTACAGAGGCACAACCACTTCTCTTCCCCCCCCCCTCCCTCCTCTTCCCTC